ATAAGTATTATTGGACCAACCATGGCTTTCTGCCTGATTACTCTTTAATTGTGGATTCACTCCATGTCACTGATATCAATTAAGATTTTCATAGCCTGATAAGTCTTTATCAAGTGCTAATGTCATGTGCACAGCCCTGTTACATGAGTAAGGGCTCAATCTGCTTTCTTCTCTATATGAAATAGACTCCAGCAGAAAAATTAACCCTACAAATAAAGTAAAAATTAAATATTATTATAATCCTAGTTATGATGATAAAGTACATCTGGCAGCAAGCATCTGATCAGGAGTTTGGAAGTTTTTAAGGGCATGCTGTTTTAATTGCTGTTGTTTCCAGGTCCACCCTGACCCAGAGTGGTAGTACCTGTCAGGGTCCCAGCAAAAGGTAAATAGTGAGTCCCCCCCCCCAAAAAAAATCAAAAACTAGGAAAACATAAAAATATATTTTTATAGTAAAATGACCAACAATATATTTTATAGTAAAATTGAAGATGTGGCATACATTGTCAAAAAAATACTAAAAAAACAAAAACAAAAACAATTTGCTATGATTAATCTCCTTTCTTGCAAGGTGAAACAAGTTCTCACTCATCAATTGATTTTGTAAGATTATTTGGTTAAAAAATAAAATGCGTATACTTAATTATAATTTAATCGTAAAGTAATGTCATTTTCTTGAATTAATTACTGTTGTATCTTTAAAGAGGTTTACAAACAGACAAAGGTGGTACTTGAGTGAAAGAAGAGCAAAACACACATAGATGAAAAAAGAGAGGTTTATTGTAAAAGAGAATACACTACTGAAAGACAGGGAATCAGGTGGCAGGCTAGTAATTCCTGAAGCAAGCCCCCAGGTATATCCTATACCTCACTATATATAGCTACTGATATAGTCAGTACACATAGGCGATAGGGAGTGTGGGACATTCCATTACAACAATTACAAAGTTTGAATTTTCATATTTAGATTTTTGGCATTAAATAACCCATTGAGGTGTTGATATGTCACTAAACAACCAAACCATTTTTCTGCACTTAGCTCTCTGATTTCAATTCCTATAAGTTTAGCCAATAAAATTACAAATGTTCACTATAATTAGTATTTAATTTTGTAATGTATTTCATAATTAAATATTTATTAAAAAAAAGTCATTTTTGTAGTGGAAATGGTGGCTATGAATATAGCAGAATAATTATTAATAATGGTCTTACTGGTATATATCAGAAGAGGCAGTGAGTAGATGACGCATGGTTTGGCAACTACTATAATTAGAAAAATCCTTTTTTTATTTGAGGTCTATATTATAGATAAAAGAATGCTGATCTGGAAGAAGCATTATTTTATTTCATCAATGGTAAAATCAAGTCAAGTTCAGCAGTAAAAGCAAGGCTTTTCTTTCAGTTAAGCAATATGCCTTTCACTTCTCTAAGTCAACTACTGATATATTAAAGATTATTGCAGAAAGAGTATATGAAGCTTTAGATAAGAACAATGAAGCACTGGCTGTTGCTTTGGATATCTCTAAGTCATTTGACAAGGTTTGACATACTGGTCTTCTTCACAAGTTGAAAGGTTATGGTATTTCTGAACAAATTTTCAAACTGATTCAATCTTTCCTTTGTCCTGTGTCTGACAAGAAACTACGTCCTGCAGCAAAGGCCTCTGATTGGGAGGTGAAGAGCGTGGAACCACCTCTTAATTGCTGCTGTTCCCAGGTCCATCCTGACCTAGGGTGGTAACACCTGTTAGGGGCCCAACTATGGAAAAATATTGAATCTCCAAACTGGGTTCAAAACACTATGAAAGTATTAAAAATTTTATAGTAAAAATACCAGCAATACATTTATGGAAAAAAAATTACCAGCAATACATTTGTTAAAGTAATTACTAATGCTCACAAGAAAATTAAATTTCAGCATTAAACGACCCATTGTGGCTGATATGTCATAAAACAAACCAAAGCAAATCAATTTTTCCTGTCAAATCACAGAATGAAAATTGTTTTTAGATTTTTTTTCATTAATTCAGGTGCCCCTCAGGGCTCTATCCTTAGACCTATGTTGTTCCTAAATTTCATCAACAACCTTCCTCAGTGTCATCAGTTCTCAACTCAGTAATTATACCTCTACTAATAGTAAATCTGAGTGGTTCAATAAGATCAAATTGGCAGCTTATCTCAAAAATGACCTGTATTCAGTTCTTAACTAGGTCTAGGAATGTTTTGTTAATTTTAATGCCTCCAAAATGAAACTGCTCTCTATTAATCATCTGAGAGAGCCCTTTCTACATTCCATCAGCATGGCTAATGTTAACCTTCAGGGGAGTGACTTCTTGCCCCTTCTCAATCTAACATTTTCCACTGACATGAAGTGGAAAGATTATATTGAATCAATTGCTAGGTCTGCTGATAGGAAAATTGGTATCATACTAGATAACTAGATAATTTTTCTTGCCAAATCTATCTTACATATTTACAAGTTTACCATTTGTCCATGCTTAGAATATTGCTGCCACATATGGTCTGGTGCTCCTGCTATATATTTCGAGGTCCTTAACAAAATCCAAAGAAGCATCTGCAATGTCATTGGTCCTGTCTTGACATCTCAGCCTCTGTCACTTTCCCACTGTCATAATGTCACTTCCCTGTACCTTTTCTATAAATACTTTCATGGTAATTGGTTGATGAATACTCCTCTATGGTACCTAAACTCTATGAATTTAAGTGCAGTTCTATATTGGCAGCAAGATCTCATCATTTTCATTTTTTTTTCCATTTCAAAATTTTTTTCACCTTTTGCCTTAAACTGTTCAAATGCTTTGGCTATTTCTTCACTATAAGTGATTATATATAATCCCTGTTCACCTACTGTTATGAAGAGATAATACATACAGATTATATATAATCTCTCTCTCTCTCTCATATATAGTATCTAGAGTTTCTTGACTAAATCCAAAGAAGACTCTGCAATGTTATTGGTCCTGACCTTGCATCTCGACTTCAGTCCCTTTTTGTTTTAATGTAGCTTCCCTGTGCTTTTTTAGAAATATTTTCATGCCAATTTTTTGATGAGCTTTTTTCTTTGGTACCTTAACTTCACAAATTTAAGTGCAGTTAAGTCCTATCATTTTACTGAACTTGATAGATGTCACCATAAGTTTTATTCTAATAGTTTCTTCTGTTGCACTTCTCACCCATGGAACTCTCTTTCTGCCTCTTGCTTTTCTGTCAACTACGATTTTCCAAAATTTAAATGCAATGTCAATTGTCATCATCTGTCTCCTTGAATCTTGTTCTTTTATTGTCTTCTCTCTTCAATGAGGTTTTCTCAGTTTCTTTGCATCTTAGTGGTTTTATAATCTTGTTTTGGGTGAAATGATAAAAAAAAAAAAACAAGAAGAAAAAACTATCTGGAAAGCTCAAAAGTGTTTAATTAAGTGATAATTTGAGTGATCAGTGTCTGTTGAATAAGGTAGATGCTCCAATATCACATACGACATTTGAAGTGTGAGGCTGGGCATTGCCATAGAGCAGATTTGGGCCAAATTCACTAGACTAAGTTGTTTTTTTTTTTTTTTTAATTTTTCATGCATACAGTTAATTTCATTGCGACATGTGTTAGATCTAATTAATTCGTCTTGTTGCAAAAATGCACAATGAATGATGCTTTTGTCCAACCACCACACAGTAAACTTGATCTAATTAAAAAAAAACATCTTAGTATTCCGAAAGATATCTAATTAGTGAAAAAAAATCTAATTAAAAAAAATTTTAGTGTTCATAAAAGTATCTAATTTAAAAAAATATTAGTGTTCAGAAAAATATTTACCGTATTTGATGGCATATAAGGCACACTTTTTTTTACAAAAAATATCTTTTAAAATTCCCCTGTGTCTTATAGGCCATATGTAAGTTTACAAATTTTACTAATTACTAATTTTTTTCTTGATTTGCCCTGCTGAAATTGGGATGTATCTTATATGCTGTCAGTAATTAAAAAAATATATTAGTGTTCAAAAAAATATGTAATTAGTGAAAAATATCTAATTAATGCTGGATCCAGTTTGCATCTGTGAATATAAAATGTTCAAGAAATAATTATAAATTTTCTGTTTCAGCATTATCTGTATGAATTGGTCATCAATATATTGGTTCACCATAACTGTTTCTACCAATTACACCAATTTCTACAATACCATGTCCTCAGTGACTCTAAACCTCTGGTAAGTTCTTATTTCATAACTACAAATTTGTGTCTGTTTTCATTAAATTTTTGGTTAAATTTCAAAAGTTTCCATCTTGTACTTAAATTCACTATTAATTACAATCTCAACTCAGTGTGAGATTAACTGATACATAATGTTATCTGTGACATTCAAGTTTATTATTATTAATCTTAATGGGATAATTTTGCTCCAGGCAGTTCAGTATAGGGTTAGTAAGAATTATGTTAACACTTAATTGGTAGAAATCATTTATTCACAAAACGTACATCATATATGTAAGATGCTTTACAGAACAGTCTCAACCTGATTGTCATCATGTTCAACACGCAAAAAAAACTAGTGAGCAACAGTAGCATTTAGAGCCCGGACATTCATTTTATGGGAAATAGCTGATATCACAGTCTGTATTCTGTCTTCGAGGTCATTGATATCATGAACTCTCTTGCTATATACTTCTACCTGTTCTGGGCCGTCCCACATTTTCTTGGTGGTAGTTCGCTATTGATCCAGTCTTCATAAACTTTGCAGAGGTACAATAAATCAACTTGGTGGGTCTTGCACAGCAAATTGTTCTGTAAACTGTCCATGGACTTCAGTTGGTGAACCATACACTTTGATCAAGTTGGCAACCATTTTTCTTTGCTCCAGTGTTAATCTGAAACCCATGCAATACATCTATTTGCAAAAAGAAAATAATAATAAACATAATTTTAATTAGCCCTGTATTATTTACATTCAGATTAGATTGTTTTCATTCTGCTGACCTTGTGTAGGGAAATCTCCTCTAGTTCTTGCTTAGTGCTGCTCAGTTATTGTTCATCCCCATTTCCACTAAATCTTACCCAGTCATGGAATCGAACTTGCAATTTCTGTCACCAAATTCATGAACCAATGCTTTAATCAGCTAAGCTGGCAATATCTGAGCAGTACTGAACAAGACGAGATATCACAAGATATAGTAAGCAGAACGAGAAGAATCTAACCCCATAGGTTAAATAAAGGGTTGTTCGAAATTCCCTAAAGTTTACTCAGATTGACAAACACCTCATAGCTCACAAGGCTGCATGAATTCTTTTAAACTCTGTCAAGGCTGGAAAGTTAAGATTGGGCAGCTACAGCCCAGATATGGCAGCAATACTCTAATCTTGGTCAGATCCAATTCTTGGAAAGGTACAGCATAGCAGGAAGAGTCAGGTACTTTCTGGAGTGGCACAGGAAACCAGCCATTTTTCCAGCATCGTTAGATCATGTATATGAGTTTGACTTGAGATCTGGAGTGAACCTTAGTCATTCAATAGATATTCAAAGTAATATAAAAGATTTCAAAAAGGGAAGTGGTATCAATATGTCAATATGGAAAAGCTTAGTAGTTTTTACCAAATAAAGATAGGAAATAGTTCACTGTATTTAATTTTTTGAATGGTTCACAACAATCAGAAAATACAAATTTTAATGACCTTGTAAGCAATTTTGAGCATAAGATGAAAATATGGAATAACCAGATCCTGTCATGACATTCATACTGTTGGCTTTGTGCAAATCAACAAATACTGATTACTATTTAGTAATGTAGGCTCTTAATGAAGTTACTTATGTCAACATGAAATTTTAAAGCATGTTTTTAATTCAGAAATCCCATCCTGAGTATGACGATAAACTACATCCATGTACTGGGTAAAACAATAAACTACGTCAAGGCATCTGATCAGGAGGTTTTGAGGAACATGGAACCACCTCTTAATTGCTGGTGTTCCCAGGTTCACCCTGACCCAGGGTGGTAGCACCTGTTAGGGTCCCAGCTATGGGTAAATAATTAACCCCCAAACTGGGGGCAAAACACTATGAAAGTGTAAAAATAGGTCTTAGTACCAGAAATACTTTGTAAAAAAAGAAGAAAAATTATTACCAGCAATACATTTTTGAAGAAAAAAAATGTTACCAGCTGTATATTTAAAAAAAAAATAAAATAAAATTACCAGCAATACATTTTTGAAAAAAAAATATTTCCAGCAATAAAAATCTTGTCGGCATTAAAGAACCCATTGAGGTTGATATGCCGTAAAACAAAATAAACCAAACCAAACTGATTCAAAAATCAGTATAACAGTATCCTCTTCTACCAATATATTACCCAAAATAATCATTGCAAACATACTCAATCACACTCTAAAATGAGTAGTGTTTAGTACAGTCATGGTACCTGTGCTAGGATGACCAAACAACCAGTTAATCTTAAACAAGGTAAGAAATTTAACTCACTTGTACAAGATGGCAAAATACCAAAGTGTTTTGTTTGTGACTTGCATCTACAATGGGCCCATCTGTAAGGTGACGGGAAACATAATTTTGAATATGTTCTGTTCTCCCTCTCTCTCTCTACATGGTATATATAAATTGCTGTGACTACAGAAACAAGATTACAGATGATGTCCCTAACTGCATTGAAAGATTATGCAATATTGGATCTTCTTCTCTATGAACAGTGTCCCTTCAAAACATTGGTAATCATGACTCTCTACAATTTGATGTGCTTTGTAGCTCTTAATAAATTTTGTCTTTTTGTTCTGCCATCCATTTACTCAAGCTCACTAGGCAGGTTATGCATTGCTTTCCTATGTCCCTCGTGCCTTTAATCTCCCCTGTGAGTATCAGATTTTCTAAGCCCTCTTTCCTCATTATGTACCCTAAAAATTTCAACTTTTCTTTTCTGATGTTAAGTATAAGTGTCCTTTTTGTTTCCATTTCCTCTTAAACTTTGCTGTTGCTCATATTTTCAGTCCATGGTATTCTCAGCATCCTTCTGTAGAACCACATTTCTGTTGCCTCAAGTTTTTTCTTCTTCTGGGATGAGATGTCAACAATAATTAGAAAGTACAATTTCTCCATGTTTTTAAATCCATAGAGACTGCTACATTAAATGTTGTTACCAAAGAGATATTTACAATAGAATGCAAATTGTTTTTTTTTGTTTTTTTTACACTAACAGGAGATATTAAAGGCAAGAAAGACAAGGGAAAGTTATACATAACCTAACTAATGAACTTGTGTAAATCATTGACCTTTGGAGATATACTGAAAAGACCAAATTTACTAAGAGCTACAAAGGACAGGAAATTGTGGAGAGCCATGATTGCCTACATTTTGAAGGGACAAAGCAGAAAGAACAACAACAAGCTTGTATAAATTGTTGGCATAATAGGGATCAGGAGAAATAGCAAAAAGACAAAATTTACTAAGAGCTACAAATGATAGGACATTGTGGAGAGCCATGATCA